TGTAGACTTTTATAGTGCATCTTTTTAGGTACAATTTACCTCAAGCAACTCTCAAAATTAAATGGGAAAATTCTTTGCATGTCACCAAACAAAATTCATGTGTAACTTATTTTTCTTTACTCTTGTTTACATGCTACATTATGCTACCATGAAAGCTAGATTTTTTTCAAAAGGGGAAAAACATGAGGCGGGGAAAGAGAGAGAGAGAGAGAGGAAGTGGCAAACTAGGGTTACTTAGTTTGGAGAAGACAGGATGGGGCGGGGATGGATTTTGTAATAGTTTGCAGGGGAAAGGACTAGGAGAAAGGGACTCAAACTGCAGCAGAGGAGATTTAAATTGGAGATTAGGAGGAACTTTCTCACTCTGTGGGTGGTTAAGCACTGGTACAGGCTACTCGGAGGTTGTGGAATTTTTAACCTTGGAAGCTTTTAGGAGCAGGTTAGACAAGCACTTGGTTGGGATGGGTTAGTCAGGGATGATTCTGCCTTGAGCAGTGGGCTGGACTAGATGCCCTCATGAGGTTCCTTCCATGCCTACTTTCCTATGATCCTATGAGCCCTGCTCACCATTTGGGACTGTCCACCAGCAGCTGACATAATACAGTTCTTTTTTGTGGTTGAGGTAGGGAGCAGGGCAGAGTCTGAAGTGTCCATGAAGGAGGGCTGCCTCTCCCACATATAGCTTGAACCAAAACTTTAAAGGGACTCCCCCAGTATTCCCTTATGGAGGGCACAGAAGGGTGAAGCCCGCCTGGAGGACTGGGTCATAGCAGTTCTGCCTCTGTTGAGGAAAGGGGTTGGTTCTGTAAAAGCAGATGTGGATCTTAACTGGAGCATTGTACCTGAGCCTAAACTGATATCCAAATTTTGAATCTGGAGTTTCTACTGAGCTTATCTGGGAAAAGTTAGAACTGCTCTTTGGACACTCATGTTCAGGAGTCTTTGTTTGATTGGGCTCTTCCACTGTAGAAATGTTTGGGACCCTGTCGAGCACAGATCTGAGGTTTTGATTTGGATCCATCACCACAAGGCATTATTCCCTTCTACATGAGTCAGGTTGGATGAGACTCTGTTCTGCCACAGTAAGGGAATTTTTTTGGCCTAGAGCCACCTTTGCTTGTGTCTTCAGCATTAAGATCATTCTAGGTCAGGCTTAATCGTACAACATAAGTCATAGCTATGATTATAATGATGTTTCTAAATTAGTTATACCTTCACAAATACTTATAAACTAAAAATACATAAGGTAAATGGTTACTATGAAAAAAACCACTCCATTTTTGTGCAGTAGCTTCTGCTCTTACACAAAATACTTGATGTATTTCTACCAGTGGCAGAGAATTCAGATGGCAGGTGTTGGAATTGAATATAATCCATTAAGCAATGTTATTGGATATTGATTAGCTATCCTATTTAAATGTATCTATTTGCCTTTACTTCCTCTAGTTATCTTTTAACATATGACATATAATATAATATTACTGTTGCTGTAAATCCCAATGCACAGAACATCCAGGAGAGAGAAAAAATACTTGGTACTATTCCTAATCTTGAATGGGAAAAAGCTTTATACCAGGCTCTGTTAACTTTCTTTCTTTAGGATACGTAAAAAGAATGAGAGAAAATATTACAAAGGACCAAACATCTTAACCTTATTATTTGTTCAGTGCTAACTCAAAGAAAACTCACGTTGACTTCTGTAGGAGGAAGAATTTAAAGCAGAACAATGAGGAGGACCAAGGGAAGTAGTTCCTAGTTTATTACAACGATGTCACTCAAATTCAAACTTCTCTCTCACTGTCTCTCTTTTTTACAATGTACTTCTACTTATGCTGTACAGGATTAAGTCAGCCAATAGATATGTCATCACATTTAAATGGTTATACTGGGACAAATCTTGAAGTGCTTTCTTGGGCTGTCTCTTGTGCTTCTTACAGTCACTATGAATCCTAAGAGGAGCATGACAGAATTAGAACTGGTCCTCAGGATTTGGTCTGCAGGATTTTATGTAAATAATTCATACAATTTATGATCTGCGCAACCCCAGCTCAGCCAGCGCACAGCCCAGAGCTGGGAGGAGAGGGAGGGGACATGGGGAGAGCCAACACAGCAGCTTCCCTCAGGGTCCCTGTTGACTACCCTTGCCAGCTCTGGGCTGCCTGTTGGCTGAGCCACGGCTGTGCAGGTCCTAATAGAAGTGTCCATGTTGGTTCCTCTTGTGCCTGCCTCTGCCTGCTCCAGCTAGAGCTGAGGCTGAGCAGAGAGGCTGTGGTCTGACAGAGCTGAAGCCTCAGTTCCTGCTCCCTGCCAGCTCTGTCAGACCACAGCCTCTCTGCCAGCCTCAGCTCTAGCTGGAGCAGAGGCTGGCAGAGGCTCCCTGCCAGCTCTTTCTTTTTAAAGAAACCTGCACAGATTGAATCAACCTCCTTTCTGGCTTTTTGACTGTCTGTACTTAGCCCAGAAGGTTACTATAGACCTCCTATGAGGTCTTGAAGTATATTAAATGGCTGAATAGTAGTCAGCTGTAATCCTGACTTAAATAGTTGTTCTCTCAAAGGAGTGGAGGCAAAAAATGTGAAGCAAGAGAAGGGGACGAAAAGTGAGAAAAAACACAGAAATGGAAGAAATATGAGGAGAGGGATGTGGGCTAGAATCCTCTTCTCACCACTGATCAGGTACCTGCTGCTTGCGTCTGCTCACTGCTGGAATTCTTGGGCGCCTATACACATGCATTGAGGCTGCTTCGATGTGCTGTAATTACAGTGCATTGGAGTGGGCTCGATTATTCGAGGCTGCTGGAACGTGGTAATTACCATGCTCCAGCAGACTCCAGCATCACATATATCAGCATCCCCGCACTGTAAAATGGTGGTGGGATGCATTAACTAAAGGTCATATGACAAGCTCTAGTTAAAGCACCCCAGCTGCCATTTTTCAGCGCAGGGATGCTGATACACACGTGATGCTCTGGGTGCTTTAATTAGAGCAGCTCTTTATAAAATGCCCTTCATTAGAAAATGTTGATTGTTGAAAACTCTTCATAGGAATGTATTTTTTTTTATAGGAAGTTTTCTCAGGGGACATTTGGGGCAATGAAAGAGGCATGCCTTCCTAACAGTCTTCTTTAGCATTGGGCTCCACTACTTGGACCCCAGAGTGTGATTTCTGGGGGTATTGTCCATAGGATTAATTCTTCAGGAGGAATGAAACAGCACTGCTGGACAGTACCAAACAGCAGCAGCATTGACTCCATTCTCCTGAATAGCCAATAGTCTAAGCATTAGGCCATTTGTATAAGATGTGAAAGACACAGTTTAAAGTTCCTTCTCTCACTGATTTGGAAAAGAAACTTGAATCTCAGTCCCCAACATGCTGGGCGAATGCTTTAATCGCTAGGCCTCTCAGTCTCTTTCTAGCTCAAGGAATATTTAATTATTTACACAAATTGGAGCAGCTTCTGGAAGAAAAATCAAGAGAGAAACTGACTCTACATTGTTGGTGAGGGTGCTTGTTTAGGATGTAAGAAAGCCAGTTTCAGACTGCTTCACTGGCTTGGGTCATAAAGCAGCTTAAACCTAGCTCTTCTCCATTCCAGGCAAGTTCTGGAAACCCTGAGATATCGGGTATGCTGAGCAGCGATGCAGGGAAAGACTCCCTCCCCTCTCTTTCCCATGCATGGAAACTGAATTCTGAAATGCTAGAAATCATTCTCAGAATTTAACTTTTCTTTTCTGGCCAACCCTCCTCTGACTGACTGGTCCCATCACTTGTCCAGTTGACTCTGGCAGTTTCTTGGCTTATCTCTCACTGAGCTGCTCCAGTGCCCAGTATGATCAATAATGCTTAACAGGCCTCTGTCCAATTCAGAGCTACACTTTGATGGGCTGGGCAGGGAATGGAGAGGAGAGCCAGGATCCCAGCGCTGGAGTGCAAGTAGAGTCTGCTACTCATTCCTCTCATTCCTCCCAGTGCCCTGAGCAAGTGGATTTTTTAAAGTCCTCTCTGTAAACAATATGATGGGATAATTTTATTTCATTTTACAATTTCTTAATAAATAAGCCATTTGGCCACTGAAACTAAACTGACTGCAGTCAGAAATCCTTGCAATCAGAAAGCTTTTCTAATACTCTTCTCTCTAGGTGCCCTTGTTCTTCTAAGATCTTAATGTTCTTCCACTGGAGAATATTAAAACATAATGCAGGTTTTTATGTATTATTACCGTTGCATCTATAAATCACTTACCCATGGTAGCTGTAAATTATATTTTCCATCTTCCATACAGTTGTTGCCACACTGAGTTGGATAATGATGGCTTGACTTACTGCTCTAGTAATGTACTTAAATCTAGGAAATCTGTCACTGAAGGCATTTTAACATGGGCACTATAAACTGTAGCTGAAATTTTAAAGCATCTGCTGTCAAGTTGTGTGTCTTGAAGTCTTGTATCTTATACTTAGTTTTCATAAGGTTTTTGAAGTTTCTGTATTGTTTCTTGGGCAAAGACAAATATATGCAATAAGTTTCATGAGGTCCCTTCCCTTCTGAGCACCCACCATCATAAATTATGCAGAAACTCCAAACATGCAGTACTAGAGCTGACTCTCAAAATCATGCTCTTATGTATTAGGCCTTGCCAGCCTCACACAGAAAAGTAATTGTATACATTCCTATGGAACTGCCATTCCCTACATTAAAGGACAGTGGGTGCGTCTACACGAGACACTGACTGCGCAGTAGCCAAATAATATGTGTGGCTGAATAATATATTAGCACAAACAGTGTTAATATGCTACTGCACAGTGTCATTAAGCTACTGTTCGGTAACATCACTTAAAAGGTGTTTGCTGGCACTACTGTGCATTTATTTTGTACTTGATTATACAAGTACCAAATAAATGCGCAGTAATGTCTCGTGTAGATTTGCCCAATGGCACTTAGACATTAGAAGATGGATAGACTAGCATTTTCCCTTTCTTACTTTCTTTTAATTTTGTTTACAGCACTTCTGTATGCAACCATTTTTGGCAATGTGACAACCATCTTCCAGCAAATGTATGCCAACACAAACAGGTACCACGAAATGCTGAACAGTGTCCGGGATTTCCTTAAGCTCTACCAGGTGCCCAAAGGTCTGAGTGAACGTGTGATGGATTATATTGTTTCCACCTGGTCAATGTCCAAGGGGATAGATACAGAAAAGGTGAGTAAATGTACTTTAGAAGAAGCAAGTGACCTTCTGAAAACTTTCTGAATGTGTCAAGCTGTTTCATTATATTGAAAGGGAGAAACTTACTTGAATCTAGATAAGATAAGGTCCTTCAATCCATACTAAGTAGCAGCTGCTATTTATTTTTATTTCATTTAAAAAAGTAATTCCAGTGATTGTCATATTTTGATATGTCAGCAGTAGCATACTATTATGTTATTTCTTCTGTTGACATTTAATGAGGCAATGTAAAAATAATAAATATAGAGTAAAAATACCTCAGGAAAAAAGATACAGTTCCAGGATGAAATATTAAAAAAACCCAATGCTACCTTACAAAATAAAATTTCCCTAAAACTATAATTAAAAAAAAAATCATTTAGAAAATTATGACAGTTTCCTGAAAAATGGAAATTTGCTTGCAACTATGTGCAAGTACAAAATGTAGGATCTGCTGCATGATGGGAATATATAAGGTTTTGCTTACAACATTGGGGTCAACCTTTTGACAGACATGCCACAAATTAGTTCCATGTCGGTTCCAAGTGTCCCTCTGATTCTCTTTCACGCCTGACCTGTTACTTGGCTTTCTGCTCCCAGCCCTGTGGTCCTGCTTTATCTGCTGCTCTGCTTTCTTCTTCTTTCCCTTTTCTCTCTGCCCAACTTGCTAATTTGTTTCTGCCCTTTCTGCCACCCTGCTGCCTGCCACACACAGAGGATGCTCATGCCACTTGTGTCACATTAGCCACCCTGGCTTACAACATAGCTTTAAAATAGAGAGAGAGTCTCCATTTCTCTTTTGTCAATAGAGAGATGTTTCACTGCATTCCAGGGCAGTCTGTTTGGAAAATTACAACAGTTTTTAGCAGCACGCTAGCAGTGGGGTATTTGTGCTGGGGCCCAGTGGCTGGGAGCTGCTCCTGTGCTGTCTCTGCTTCCCGTAGCCCTCTGCTGCCAGGATGCAGCACTGGTGCAGTTTCCAGTTGGAAGAGAGCTGCCCCAGAGCTGGGTATCTGCAAACTGCATCCACACTCCTGCTGCTTCTGCCCTGTGCCCCTTCCTCTCCCCACCCCTGCCCAGCAGCTGTGGCATGAGCACAGCTTCCAGCCAGTAGGGAGCTATGCTAGGGATGAGTAATTTCCAGCTGTGCCCATGCCACAGCTGGGGGGTAAGGGGATGGAGAGGGGCAGTGGGGAGATGTGGTGGCAGCACAGATGCAGTTTGCAGATACCTGATTGTAGTGCAGCTCTGGCAGCTGGAGAGTGGGGGCTGGGAGACATGGCAGCAGCATGGGGGCAGTTCCCAGATGCCTGCCCCTGACATGGATGTGGGGAAAGCAAAGCCTCTGCCAGTGGTGTGTTGTACAATTTCCTTTTTAAACAGGGGGAACCCAGTATGAGTACAGAAGCTAGATCCTGGGCTTCCCCTATTTAAAAAGGAAACGCATCATATGTAACCCTAAGAATGCCTTTGGAGACAGCATGACGTATTAAATTACACTTGACTTGTCACCTTCTAAAATTACTTTAATAAATGGGAAAAGTCTTCAGTGATTAGGACATCAAAGAGAACACATGATGTAGACAAATTCAGAGCTTAAGACCTGGTATTTATGGCTGAAAAATAAAGCAAATTGAGAAAAAACAAATCAGCCTTCGCATTTTTAACAAGGGCTAACCAATATAAGATTGACAAATGGCTGTACCAGTCCATAAATTCTCAAGTCTCAGCTCCATTGATTTTTGCATTCATATACAAGTTCTAGAATGCCACATAGTGAATAAAACATGATATTGTTTCCACATGCCTGCAGAGCTTCCAGTGCTAGTGTATAATGTCATGGGCTAAGGACAGACATTCAAAAAGCCTGAGCCTGAATTGATTCAATCTTTGCAGGTTAGGTTAACCTGGCTAGGCTGAACTGGTTTGTAACTGCAAAGGCATCCCAGACATGCAGGCACATGCTTGCAGTATCTCCAGCTAGAAGCTGGGGGGCACTAGAACATCCCTCCCATCCGTTCCACAGCACTGAGCTGGGGGGGAGGGACGGATGGGTAGACCCTGGCAGGATGCTTTGATTAACCCAGCAGGGAATTGATAACAGTGTTTATTACCCTGTAACTCAGTGTTTATCACCCCATTACAAAAAAAAAACAGAGGGACATTACCAGCTACCTGTAGAATCAAGAGGCAGAATCAACCTGTTGATTCAGCAGGGAACGTAGCCAGCATGTGGTCTGCTAGCTAATACACAGACACCTCCTCAGCAAGGCAGAGGGGAGTGGGGAATTCCTGCTTAGCATGAAGTGGTAAGGGGGAGAGGGGGAGCAGCCTGCAGTCTGTGCTGGAGCTGCAGCCAGGGAGCAGAGGGGAGGGGCCAGGCCTGCTGTGGAGCAGAGAGCCCTACCCAGCCCAGAGAGCATGCCAGGATACTGGGGGAGTCTGGTTTATCTTAAACCAGCAAGGCGTCGCAGACAGACATTGCATAAACCGGTTTAAGCCAAATCCAGTTACGTCTGATACTACATTCAACCAGGTTTATCTCAAACAAGTTTCAGCCATTTTCAAACTGGTCTATGTGCACTGAACATCTGTTCTGTTACAGGTTTAAACCAGTTTCTGATCACTTAAACCGATGAATGTGTAATGTCTGTCCCTATGCAGCCTGCTACCAGTAAAACAAATATTTAAAGATGAGCTTATTTGCATAATCAATCTTTGTGGTATTTTATACATCACAATATATTGCTTGACTTGGTGCTGACCATGTTATTTGTTTGGGATTGAATCAATAATGAGGAGCAAAGGTAAGTCTGCCAGTTTCACGTATGTCATTCTAATCAAATTTAACAAAAAGTGTTTAGAAAATTCTGAAAGCAAACTGTGACAATCCCCTTCCACATCTCTTTGAGGTGTTAATACTGATATGAAGGTACCATGGTCCCAGTAACTCACAAATAGTTGCCTTGGGCAGTACTATCCTACAGTGGAGTTAATTTGTTTTCTGCAGCCTAATAGCAGTGCATGTGTAGACAGTGATGCTTTACTGTGGAGCTAATTAGTCAGCTCTGCAGTAAAGTGTGTCTGGTAGATGTGCCTGGTGTCTCTGACAGTCATCCAACTGTTTCCTGTTTTACCCCTGCCCATACTGCATGTGAGCTTTGCACTGAATCCATGATTCTTCTTCCTTCCAAAGAGAAATATATTCAAGTAACACTGGAGCTCACTGGAGCACTTCAAGCTGCTCCTTAATTAGGTGAATTAGAGGGAAATGGTGTGAACCCCTTGTACTCAATTAGAATATTTATCTCAAATAATGCATCTCTTGATTTCAACTTCATTAGAGTTTGTATCATCCAGGAACTGTTGTAGCGTTAATTCCAGCTCATGTTGTGCATTTCTGGGATTTTCAGTAGTAATTTTAAATGTGTACAAACACTGGAAAGGCTTTAGTCTCCACCTCAACCCTGTCTGCAGCTTATCTCCCAAAGTAGAGCTGATATTATGCACAATAGGATAACTAAAACAATGGCACCATTTTATGGCCGTAAAAAGACATGATACAGAAACTTGCTGCGATGGAGCACCATAAGAAATGTTATCCACCATAGGTGTAAGTCCACTTCCTATATGACTAAAGGACTGTGTTCATTTCTGCCAGGAGCTTGTACTTCTTTGTGATTAAACGCTATGTGTTAATGCATTTTTTATTATTTAGTTAAAGGAATCTGAGTCTCTGCTTCCCACACATACTCCAAGTAGGTAGAGCACAATGTGTAATTTGTGCAGGCTTTTCATTGAATAGCTTATTAAAAAGTGAAATATATCCACCAAAAACAAGCCTCTGGCTTTAGCTAGCATTCTATGAAGGCTTTCTACATTACTGTGCTGTTAATTTTACTGTTTTAAAAACCTGCAGCATTAACATATTAATTCAATATCCAGCAGAGCATGTTGCTGAGATAAAATATTATTTTCCTTCTGGTATTATAAAATAGACTAAATTAGTATTATGATGCTTTTTGTACTGAAGGTGGAAATCTGTGAGAAGAATGCAGTAGTTCCTAAACCCCGTATAGTAAAATATGTAAATATATAAAGTGGGTGACACTGTGAAGGTGTATAGCCAGTCTAACGACCTACGACTTTTTCACACAAAGTGATTACCTAATTTCCTTTTAGGTTTTACAGATTTGCCCTAAAGATATGAGAGCAGACATCTGTGTGCATCTGAACCGCAAAGTTTTCAAGGAGCACCCTGCATTCCGGCTGGCAAGTGACGGTTGTCTTCGCGCTCTAGCTATGGAATTTCAGACAGTCCATTGTGCCCCAGGGGATCTCATCTACCATGCTGGCGAGAGTGTGGACAGCCTTTGCTTTGTGGTTTCAGGGTCTTTGGAAGTAATCCAAGATGATGAAGTTGTTGCTATTTTGGGTAGGTCTCATTGTTTATAGCCTATTTGTGCCCTCTGTCTATGTGTCTATCTACACAGATAGCATTAGATTAATTCTTCACATTCCTAGAGCACCTTTGATTCAAGGATCTCTGCATGCTTTATAAAGTATAGAGAGGTAGCCAGGTATTAGTGTCTCTGTTTAACAGAGGAAAACAAAGTGACTTGCTTAGGCTTAGGCAACAGCCTGATGTAGAATCACAAGTACATCCTTCTGCTCCATGTATGTCAATGGAAAATAACCCATGTCAACTGCGACTCTTGTCCAGAGCACCCATCAGCAGCAACCCTGCTGTCATTGAAATAATAGTTCATCAATAATTTCAGTGGTAGAGACATGGTTAGACTGATTCTGTGCGCTTTAGAAAATAGTACTAAAATCTTAAAAGCCAGTATAAAAAATCTTCAGTTTCCAGAAATTTTATAATAAAATGAATGTTATTTATCATTTAAATAACAACTAGGGGAGGAGACATGACTTGGAAGAACGTTTGAAGATGCTGCTATGATGCTTCTACCAGATATACTTTGCAATAAACAAACACTATGATAGTTCACAGCTAGTGCTGGATGGGAAATGGTGGTTTAGATTTCAAACATTTCCTGTTTGACACTATGGATGCAATTAACATATTTCAGTTTTTTCCACAAAAATGGGGGAAAGGGCAGGGGAAGAGGGACTGAGAGAGATCTACTTCAAATAGCCAGTAGCTTGGTGATCTGGTCACAAACCTGGGCATGAGAATTCTAGGTGAGTGCCCTAAATATCAAACTATTGGTTATTTTTGGATGGATCTGTTTCTTTTGCTAGAGGTGCACTACTTTGTATAAATAATCAGAGAAAGTGGATGCATCTACATGTTCATAAATGCTCATTAGGCTCCCCTAATGTGCAGTAGTGAAAGTGCACACATTTTTAGTGAGGCTTAATGCGCAGTAGCCTAATTTTACTGCACATTAGTGGATTAGCACAGTTTTTGTGTGATGCTCTAATGCACAGTAAAATAGGTTACTGCACATTAAAGCACATATGTAGATGCACCCAGTGAGTATAGTACAGTAGTTAAGACCTCACTTGGACCATAGATGACTCAAATTCATGTCCTTGGTCCAATGCATATTTAATTATTTAAAGAAAATCGAGCTGTTCCAACAGAAAGACTGGTGGCGATGCCACTCAGAATTGCCAGTGTATATGGCTGAGATACTCACTTGGGATCTGAGAGAGTGGCAATAGCAGACTTGAACCTGGGTGTCTCATATTCCCTATCACTTCCCACATTGCTGCATCTTTTACTGTTCTGGGCTCTCTCTCTCTCTTTTGTGACTTGAAACTCCATACTGAACCTGAGAAATTTTAACAAATTTTTGTTAGAAAAATATAGAAACATTCCTAGCAAGCTGCACTTACAGTCCCTTTTCAAAACAACATTCTGTCTCCAGAGTCAAAACAATTTTAAAAAATAGACATCTTATTTTTAACTAGAAGCATAACATTAGGCTGGAGGCCTTAAATTCGACAAAAGTTCACAGTGGCCTGAACAACATTGTGAAGTAAAGCTTGGAGAAAAGACTCAGCAGATAAATCACAAGGTGGCTAGAACACTAAGAAGGTGGTATTTAGCCCTTGATTCTGTCAGATGTTTCTGTGATAAGGTGCATTCTCATAGTAGCTTAAGTCAGAATCTGTCACTCATACCAGCCTCAAGAAAAGAAAACAACCCTGTAACATTAATCTTTCAGATCAAATATACCCAGCTCTCCAAATTAAAAAAAAAATCTGCTGGGAAAATAAGCTAATATACTGGGTTTTGTTCTTCCCTGCATTTGAGCAGACCTGCTAAGCAGGACAGTTTAATAGGGGTCTCAAGAATCAAGCTGATAATGGTTTATTTACTCATGTGCAAAATGTGTATAAGTGAACCAGGTACAAGGCAAGTGTGTATGTATAATAGTATCATCCTGTAAGATACAGAGCAAACTTTTCTGCTCCTAAGGTCATACCTTCAGACAGCAGATTCCTTTTTGCATGTTGACTGCATTAATTAATATAATAAACGTAAAACAAAGTCTTAGGTTGATGTATCCTATAGGTCACTTTTACCTTAGTATATTCATTGATAGAAGGCAGTAGATCTACTATCCCACTTCACTCCATTAATACAATTGAAAAAATTGAAACAGCCCAACATTTTTTAATATAAACCCATTCCTGCATAGTAGCACCATGATCTACTCTTATTTCATTTTTAATACTTATCTGTAAACTGTTCAGCTTAGATTCCTGAAGTATCAGGGAAGTAAGGAAACCTGAGCCCTCAATATTTTAACAACTGATATTGCCTCAGATTAAGGGCATGCAAATAAGGATGCTTACTCATTTTCAAAATGATTAGAAATACTATATTTACTCAAATTCAACATGAAGTGCCGCTCCCCCCCGCCAAGTCAGCCTAGGGAAATAAAACCCTCATCTTAGATTTACGTACAAAGTGGTGGGTTGGGGATTGGGGCGGGGCGGGGGGGAGGAAGGGCAGATGGGTGCTGTGGCTCTGACACTGACCCTGAGCTAGGGCTCTTCCCCCCCCCAAACTTGCCCTCTGCAGCTTCTTCCCCTCTGCCCCCTCACACCCTTTACTGTCAGGTGCAGCTCGGCTCAGGCTAGATTCCCTCCTGGGCATGGGGTACGTGGAAACTGTCCTCTGTATGGACAGTCGGTATCACCGATGCTGCTGCATGGCTCCTGCCCGGACAGTCAGTAACAGTGACATTGCTGCATGGCCAGCAGAGCCTGCACTTCCACATGTTGTACTCCTGGAGGGAACCAAGCCTGAACAGAATCTGGTAGTCAGGCAGGGGAGGGAGGGAAGCAGCAGAAACTGGGGAGCAGGGGGAAGGGACAGAGATTGAGGTGAGGGGGAGAGGCTGTGTGGAGCTAGGGCTGTGGGGAATGTCAGTGGCAGTGTGGGGCAGGAAGTCTGCAAGGGGAAGAAGTGGGGGGCAGAGTGCAAAGGGGCTACCTGATTTCTCAACCCCTCTCCCTCCAGCCATCTGACCACCCCTGTCTACTGCATTCCCAGCTGTAGCAGTGTGGAAGTGTATGGATTCAAGACAAGCCTCCAGTCATTAGGTTCTGTACCTGGAAAATTATAACACATTTATAAATTTTCCATATATAAATTCCAATTATTGGAGGCCATCTTATAGTCAAGGTCAACTCAGATTTGAGTAAGTATGGTATTCTTTTATATTATTACGGTTCTTATGGGATAATATATAGATTGCCCCCTTGGCATTGGCTTTTCCTCTTTAAATATGACTTGTGGCCAGACCCTGCTCCTACCAGAGTCAATGATAATATAAGAAGGAGCCTGTGTTTTTCCCGTGAATCTAGGAAATAGAGAAGTAGGCAAAGGTGAATTCTATTGGTGGGCATGCCACCACCTGGCTTTAAGGATTGGCAAATCTTCCAGACCAGTGTTTTTCAGATTGCATGCCATGGAGCCCTGGGGTTCCACAATAGGTCACCGGAGGTTCTGCAGAGCGATTGGAGGCCAAGGGGCAGTGCACTGCTACACTGCTATTTCCAGGCCAGGTTGCCTGGCTCCACCTCAGTCTTAGGATAGGGGTAGAGTTTCCAAAGCAGAAAAAGTGATATTAAAGGATGCTGTGACTTTGGGAAGTTTAAAAACCACTCTTCTGTGTAGGTCTCAGCCTGTTGAATGTGAAGCCCTTCATGGGAGCTTCTTCAGGCAAGTGGCTGAAGTAAGCTTCACAGCCACTTGTGTTCCAGTTCCCCTGACTCATTTTGGAATATCCGGTCCTCTGGCCTCGCTCCACTCTTCCCAGGATACCGCTGTGTAGGGTATCCCTCCCCCACACCTCCGAATCCTCGAACAGCCAAGTTTTATGTAGCAGAGAGTTTATCCAACCTGGTTTTATTCCTCAGACTATCTTCTCCTCCAAGAAGGCAAAACATCACCAGTTCCACTTCCATGTAAGACTCCATAAAGCCTGAATAAGTTTCTCTTTTAACCTCTGTGCAAGTTAGTTTCCGGATCCATAAAATGGGTCTGATAATTGCCTACTTTGTACATGTGAAGCTAAACTTGTAAAGTACTTTGAAATTCTCAAGTGGAAGAAGGCACTTCTGAGGGGCAAAGTGTTTCTTACTGCAGGGTAATGCATTTCAAAAAACTGCTTTGCATATAAATTTGATCTTGTTGACCTTTCCCAGTGGGAGTTGAGCAGGAGTGTGTGTGTGTGCATGTATGTATAAGCACCCCCCTATTTATCAAATTTTTAAAATGAAAATTCACTTGCAAGAAGCATGTAAAATTGTTCTATTATATCTGAAATGAAAGGCTGCCTATTTGATCATAACTTGTTTCTTTTCACTGAGGTTATAGCAGTGTGCATCCAGTTAACACTTCAGGAAGAATTTCTAGAAAAAAGGTACTTTAGCCACTGTTTCAAAGAGAGTGGTACTGTGAGAGACCTACTTCTCAATTGCTGTCTTTTGTGACTGAGAAAAATGAGTTATGAGTTGTTTATGGGCTGTTTTGCTGAAGTGGTTCATAGATCAGGTGGTGCAAGTGGATCTTCTGATGGTCTCTTTTGGTCCAACAGTTATTACATGGTTGCATGCTGTTGTAGGGAATTGTACTCAGTGACCAGTGTGTACAATTTCTGTGCTCTGGAGAGAAGAGTACAGCAACAGTGTTGTTTAGATTTTATGCCAAGTCAACCAATACATTGTGCTGTGTGAGTTTTTAAGGTAATTCTAAATTAACATGTGCATTGTAAACTGAATTTCTGATCCTGCTAAGGCTCATAGAAGTATTTAATTTTACACTCTAATTCCATTGAAATCTATTAAGAGTTGAAATCTGCATAGACTTATGCACCTGCATAAGCGTTTTATGGAATTGGAGTCCTATTTTATTGAATGGTCTATGAGACTATTAAGACACTTTAATAT